TTAATATATCAATATCTAATATTCAATATCTTTCATTCATTAGATAAGAACTATGTAATAATTTAATATATCAAGTAATGAGTAAATGATACATTCATTGGTTTTCAATGTTATAGGATATGCTGTCTCAAACCATAAGTGTACTTTATTACATAGTAATTATAGTAAGAGTTTTCACCTAATGTTTTTGCTGAATTATTTATTACCAATTACAAATAAAAAAATATTGATAAGAATCTATTTATTATTTTATTGTCTTGAAAGCAATATTAAAAGGTTTTAATAATGATTGGGATATTATAAAATTATCCGATCAATTTCTTTATGGATCAACCAATCACAGATAAAGCCTGTTATGTTATTGGGCTGCATGTATACACAGGAGAGACCTGTAACACGTAGGCGAGACTGTTTATGAGCTCTTTAAAGAACCCAGATGCAACATCAACATACATTTCAACCAATTAATCCTTTTTTGACATAGGCGACCTATTAAAACTATACATGCAGTCCAAAGTATTTTGACACTGTCATAAAGGGGTGTTACACTTATGTTTTTAATAGTGAGTGTCGTAATTAATTTCTACTTTCTACCATCAAAATTGGAATATTTTTGACCATCAAAATCACCAAACCAATTTGGGCTGCATGTATAATTAAAATCTACATAATGTACATAGCTTTTGTGTATCAAGCAAGGTTAATAAAAAAAAAGAACTAAAATTCAAATAAAAATTTGAACATTTATTTTCATGTTTTTTAAAAATTTACATACAGTAAATAAAACATTGTATAAATAAAGGCTATTGTTTTAAAGAATGAAATTTTGTATTTCTATCTAGAAAATTAGTGATTAAAAAAATGGCAATAACATCTAAATCGCAATCAATAGAAACTTCTTAATTAACAGTAATCAAAAGAAAAAGATTTTGGGCCTTAATCTAAGTAGAGCCTCCATAATAAAAATTTCTGAAAATTATATACTGTATAGCACTGTCCAGTATATAATCACTTATTATTCTAGACAAAAAAATCAGAAAAAAAATAGTAAAAAAAAAAAATAATTGTGCTTCTGCTGACCAGACACAGAAGAAATTCATCAAGTGAGTGGTGTTGAGATTTCTACAAGAACAATTTGTAGAAATCTCCATGAACTTGGATTTATTCACGAATTGCTTGGTAAAATTTCTATTGTCTTAAAAACAAAGGACAAAGAGACTATGGGATGTCAGAAAGTGAAACCATAATGAATAATGATTTGCTGCTTTCAGAAAATATGATTAAAGACTTGTCTAGAGAAAAAAACAGGGGAAGTTATGATATTGAAAACATTGTCCTGTCAGTAAAACATGGAAAGAAATTGGTCCTTTGGTTATAGTGGATGGAAAGATGAATCGTTGGGACTATATTGAAGTATTAAGAAAATTTGTTACCTTTAGTTGAATTTAATAATAGAAATTACTATTTCAAGATGACAATGCCCCAGTTCACACTGCAAAAGCTGTTCAAGATTGAATGCTTGATCAATATCATTTACATCATGTTTCTTCTTTTCCTTTTGTTAGCTTCATGAGAATCATCATCAATTTCAAGCCATTTTTTTTTATCTTTTAAAATTTCACTAACAGTACTTTTACCTATGTTAAAAGTATTCAACAAATCTACATTTGTAGGGTATGGGGCTGTTTGTTTTGCTAAACATAATTCTTTTTTCTGTAAAGCAGTTAATGATGTTCTTTTATTTAAATGAGACATTATTGAGATTAATTTATTTTTAATTTATTTGTTAGAGTTTGTTTATGTGATTAGACAATTTGTGAAAAAATTTTAAAGAATTATTTGTTTTAGATTTAGAAAAGCAACTCAAAGTAAAAAATTAAACTTTATATAAGATTTTTAAAAAACATGCAATTACTAAATAATAAATATTAATGTTAATATATTAATTAATATTCTTAAATCAAATTCATTATTAAAACGTAAAAAAATTACTAAATTTTAAATATTAATTTAAAACATAAAAAAATTACTAAATTTAAATATTAATTTAAAACATAAATCACTAAATACTGAATATTGGTATTAAACCACAAAATTATTAAATATAAAATTAATATCAATATTAAAATGTAAAATTACTAAATCGGAATTTATTATTAAATAAGTGTATAAAATTAATATCAATATTAAAATGCAAAATTACCAAATTGAATTTATTATTCAAATGTAAAAATTGTACTAAATTAAGAAAAAAATACAGTCAACCCTCCATAAGTGCACCCTCCATAAATGCACCTCCTCCATAAATGCACCCTGTGTCCCAGTCCCAAGCTCGGGACTTAGAGATAAGTGCACTCCCTCTATGTTCTGCACTGCACGGTCTTTTCCTGGTCCCATTTATATAAAACCACCCTCTCTAAGTGCACCCCCGTGATTTTCATGTGACCACACTGCATTATAAAAAATTTAGTATTAGTAATTCCATGTTACATGTACACTAATAATGACATTTTATTAAAACATTGTATATAAGATAATAATAATTCAAGTAACAAGTAAAAAAAGAATTCTTTCTTTTATTACAACAAATGATTAATTCTTTCTTTTTAATAGATATAGAGAATTATTAGAATAATAGAGTAAGAATCCAGGAGACAAAGCTCTTGCATTTTTTATAGTTGGGATTATTATATATAAAGGTAAAGGAGGGATCATAACAGATAAAATTAAGAATTTTACTTTAAAAAATAAAAGTGCCCAGTTATTATATATCAATCTTCTAATTCATTATTATCAACATTATTGAATCATTGTTCACTGTAATTCATATTCTTTTATAACTCCCAAATAAAAATAATAAATGTCTTCAAGTAAAATAACTTTATCTGATACCCAAAAATATGAATTTTGCTTATTTGCTGCAAATAATAAATTG